TCATTACAGACTTCCAGAATGGTCTCTCAGGAAGGTCAAATTCCCAGGTATTTTGGGGGTGACAGATCAAAATCTCGGTATGAATTGGGACTCACAGCGCCAGAGGACGTCAGTGACTTGGTGGACGCGACGAAGGGAAGATGATAGCGGTTGCAGTCGTGCTCTTTATGCTGACGATCGGCATCACGCTTGGCCAGGAGTCACAGTCCAGTCAGCCAGGTAGGTTTCGGTCAGCTGATTACTCCGAAGCCTTCCTTATTTTTACCTTTTTTTCTCAGGTAATGAGGGGAAAATTCCATTGTCGGGTAATTATACAACTTTTCTGAAACTTTGGTTGACGCTTACAGCTTTCCTTATTTTTACTTTTTTTCAAGGAATGTGGAAAAAAGATTCAGTTGACGGGTAACACAACTTTTCTGCATCTTTGCTTCATTCTTACAGACTCGACATTGCCCCCCATCGGCCCTCTCGAGGTGAGAACAATTCTCCTACAGGAAGATGGAGTCCCCACGGCCTCTAGCTTCGCCCGACTCAACACATCCTTCCCGGAGCTCTTCTCCTTCACCGTCTGCTACAGGATATACCTCCTGCGTTTCCGCGAGGAGTCGACGCTCATGTCGTACGCGGTCTCGGAAAACAAGGACAATGAACTAAGAATGGGTGAGGGGATACTGAGCCACGATCTGTCACCGTCCCTCTTAGATACACACAGCCTCACCAATTAAGAAATAATCTAGCCAGCATTGTCGTTAACGATGTACTAGAAGTAAGTCCTAGAAGTAATGATATATTCTAAGAAAGAAAGTAATTATATATTCTATCCCTTTTAACAGATCACCGACTGACGGGATATAAAGTGTCGCTGCACAGTCGGTGGGCGAAAACCGTACTGGAAACGCCCTTGAACCAGTGGGCCCATTTCTGCATTTCTTTCCACCATCCAACAGGCGAGTGGAAGATCTACCTCGACGGAGAAATGACGGACAAGGGGGCGTTCCCTATGACGTCGGAATCACTTGTGGGAAGCGGCGCGTATATCATCGGTGAGCTGGAGTCGTCGTGAGGATATTGCGGGTCGTGAGTGTGAGGTATGTTCGGGGGGTTTACAGAAGCCTTTTTGTTTCGACAGGTCAGGAGCAGGATTCCTTCGGGGGAGGGTTTCAACGCGACCAGAGCTTCAGCGGCGAAATCACGCAGCTCAACTTCTGGTCTCGTGTTCTTGACGAGGGCACCATCAGGAAGGTGAGAGGAAGCTTTGTGTATGTCTACGAAGCGCTCACACTTACTCGTATCAGCACAAGCATTCGCATAAACACGTAAACATAATTTCTCACTCACTCTCTCTCCCTCTCTATGTCTCTCTTCCTCTCTCTCTCTCTCTCTCTTCTTCTTTGTCTTTCTCTCTCTTCTCTCTCCTCTCTTTCTCTCTCTCTCTCTCTCTCTCTCTTCTCTCTCTCTCTCTCTCTCTCTCTCTCTCTCTCTCTCTCTCTCTCTCTCTCTCTCTCTCGCTCTTCTCTTACTCACTCTTTCTCTCTCTGTAACATGTTAATTATCACCATTATTTTCAATATAACTCATTTTTTGCACAGCCAGTATTCTTCTTATATCAAATGTCTAAAATGTAACTTTTTATACTGTCTATCCTCGGAGTCAGTTTGCCTCGTGCGCGGAGGAGGAGGCGGGCGACGCCCTTGCCTGGGACTCGCAGGTCTGGGACGTCTACGGCAAGGTCAGGTGGATGGTCAGGCAGAAGGACGACATCTGCCAGCAACAGAAGAGGTCCTTTACCATCTTCCCCGATCGATTCTCTCTCAGCGAAGCCTTACACTTGTGTCAGGTAATCTGCATTATGGGAGAATGGGATTACTTGATTGCTCACTTTAGTTTCGCCAGTGTCATTTTCCCCCTCCGGTGTTGATGAGATTTCTTCAGTATATCGTTTTCATTTGAATCCTGTGCCAATCTAAAATGGAATCGTTATCAACACCTGGTCCAAAATCAGCTGTACCTGCGGCATCCACCCTAAACAGCTCGACTCCTGCAGGTGGTTGGTGGGATCATCGCCGTGCCCCAGACGGACGAGGAGAACGCCTGGCTGTACAACGAGTCCAAGATCCACGACGCCTACTGTTCGGGCGGACAGTCCTCTTACTTATGGCTGGGCGCGAACGACGAGAAGGTAGAGAGGCAGTGGGTTTACTGGGGCACCGGGGAACCCATCCCCTGGGAGAGCAAGTGGCGGGGGGACGGCCCCAACGGAGGGACGGTGGAGAACTGCCTCGTCTTGCTCTCCGGTACCTTTCCCGGACGCTGGTCGGACATCGCCTGTCTGGACACCTACTCCTTCTGCGTCCCCTGCGAGTTCGAGACGAGGACGTCGATATATCTGAAGGGCCCTGCCATGTGCGAGGGATCTCCGTTCAACCTGCAGTACATGCTCGGGGACTCCGTGGGAGGGCGGCCGGCTTTAGTGGGATTCCTTCACACTGACATCTTTTGGGACCAAGAACGGGGGTCTTGGGTCATGCGTTCCCTCAAGGTGGGTTTCTTCAGGGTGGTCAGAGACGTCTAATTACCTTCGTGTACATAAAAGGGGCGTAAACTATATTGGTTCTTGTAGTTCACGGATTCATAAGCTTTTAAATGGTTGACTCTCCCATGATTAACCTATTAATGTAGTTTCCATACAAGGTGTATGCGTAAATCAATGTCCTCTAGTCAGTTGTTTCCATCCATAAGTGAAATTATTTAATCGGTAGTCCCTCATTTGTGTGCATGTGTACTATATATATATATATATATATATATATATATATATATATATATATATATATATATATATATATATATATATATATATATATATATATATGCATGTATGTATACATGCGTGTTTTACTTGTTTCTGTTTGTATGCACGTATATATTTACAACAGTATACAAAACAAACCGACATTACCCCCAGGCAATCACAGCCCACGTCATGAACTCCTTCCCCGCAGGACTCCGACGCCGTGGCCACGTGGACCCCGATCCAGGAGGGCATGTATCCCTTCGGCAATCAGGAGTGGCATCTGGAGACCGAGGTGTGCGGGATCCCGAGCGGCGGAACCGTCAACCTCACCCTCTCGGTGTGCGGCGCGGGGATGTTCACGTGCAACGACGGGAGGTGCATCAGCCTCAAGCAGCGGTGCGACCTGCGAGTGGACTGCGCGGACCAGAGCGACGAGTCTCGGTGCTCGATCGTGGACCTTCCCGAGGGCTACCACATCGCCATCCCGCCTCCAGCCGCGGCGGGGAACCAAACCCTGCCCATCTTCTTCACCGTCAACATCATCGCCTTCCCGACCATCGTGACGCAAGACCTCACCTTCGTCGCGTCCATGCAGCTGAAACTCCGATGGCAGGACACGAGGCTCAACTTCCTCAACCTGCACGATGACCGGACGCTGAACCTGCTCTCCGAAGAGGCCGTGGCGAGTGTCTGGACGCCCCGGGTGTTCTTCAGGAACGCCCGTGGCAATATTTTCACCAATCTGGAACGAGGGTCGCGCGTCGAAGGCATCCGCCAGGGAGAGGCCAGACCCGGTCCCCCCAGCAGGCCCGAGGAAGGCAAGTGCTAGAGTATGGAGACCGACATGAGAAAATAGTTGTTGTTTTTTAATGATATCGTGGTCTATGGAAAATGAAGCGTTTATTTCTTCATCGTACAAATGCACTCGTATATCTTGTTGTTTATAAGAAAAAGCATTTCACATTCATATCCTAACATAATCAATATATAAATCGTATCCAAGGCCTGCGCAAGACAGAGAGAGGTCAAGGCTGTCTGTAATTTTTGCTTAAAAAAACAGCAGCATGGATTGACATGATCTCATCAACCACACTAAAAGAAACGCAGCACACGCACACACGCACACACACACACGCACGCACGCACACGCACACGCACACACGCACACACACGCACACACACACACACACACACACACACACACACACACACACACACACACACACACACACACACACACACACACACACACACACACACACACACACACTAACTCACTCACACATACACATCACAAATGGCATTTTCTCTTCCGAGACCCCTCTTCTGACCTATCGCATCTCATCTCTGACAGTGAACATCTATCCTGGGTATGAAAGCAGTCTGGAGATGAGTCAGTTATACAGCGTAACTTACTCCTGTGACTTCGAACTGCTCATGTTCCCATTTGATGCTCAGGTGAGGTGACCGTAGAAGATTGTCTTCGTACATCAGGATTTTTATTATGTTCATTATATGCCATTCACCATGATTTGACGGTTACATAATGCCCAAAATTTGATATAATACGAAGTTAATGGTTAAAAGCGAAATAAATGTGCTGTACATAATACGATGTTTTGCCATCAGCTGTGCCGTCTTCACTTCGAGTTGGTGTCGGCTTCCTCGTCTTACATGACCCTCATCCCGTCAGGGGCCAACTACACGGGTCAAAATGATCTCATTGAGTATACCATAGGTATGCAACTCTTCATATTACTGCTTGAATTACTCCTTCTGACATAGACTAGAAAATGACCACCTTATTGTATCAATGTTGAGGCGCAAATATCATAGCACCCGCTGTACCCTATGAATATTATTCCAAGGCTGTCAGAGAATACACATAATAAGTCAACATTTCGGTCGTGGGCAGTAATACCTGTTATCTTCAGGTTTCTCTCGAAACCCTCAAACAACTAATACAATTCTGTGCTAAAGAATTTCTCAAAAATTAGGAATATGTAAAGAGCAACCGACATTTAGTTTGATTTTCAATGAAGTATATTAGGACATAGCTCTCCTTATGATAATACAAGTGCTGTGTGGTGCAGTAACCCCGGCCATTTCTTGCATACAGGGGAATTTAGAAGCAAAATAAAACAGACAGTATGTCACAGCAAAGAATATCCATTACAACAAATGGAATTAAAATCATAACATCCAGTGAAGTCATTATTTTTATATTAGTTCTTGTATTCCTTTTGTAAACCAATCTGCAAAATGAGTGTTCGACATTGTGACCTATTTGGAATAGTCTGAATTAATGCTTTAGGTGTTTTGTTTTGCTGGGTTTTTATTACTTTTGCTGTTGACATTACTTGGTTAATTAGTCAAAACGAGCATTACTATTGGTATAAGCTGTTTCAGAGCAACAAATATTATGGTCAGAAGACATGCAAAACAGCAAGCATAGTAATGAAACAGGCACCCAAGTGACCACTTTGGTAGTAACCAGGAAGGCCTTAGGTGGCATTTCACCATGCTTGCCATGTCTGAAAGTGTTCACCAAGGTTAATGGTCATTTGAAATAATCCACAACAAAAAGTGAAAAATTAGTGCCTCTGAATGAGTGCCCATTTGGTAGCATTTACAATAACTGGCCAACTGAATATAGCATTCCTTTGGTATCAAATGTACAATAAAGAAAATCAATGTATATAATAACTGCAAACATGATACAACACCCAGACTTATTTTCGCTCCATCTCTGGTCATCATAACAAAGGGGGTAGAGGAATTAATTTCTGCATCTGTACCACAGCTACCTGTCATGAAGATAATGTCTGTATTCATTCTATCTAACTTTCATTCAAATCTGGTATGTACCATACAATCTATGCTATTCCATGTGGGACCCTGAAAAGTTTTCACTTACATAAGAAATGTGTTACTTATGTACAAATTACATTAACTAAGAAAACTTTACTTCTTTATGTGGCTCAATAATGCTACATAATTTATGTTTTTCATTCAAGGAGAATTTATATGACTACCTATAAATTATGTAACATTCCTTGCTTCATTAAACATCATTCATACTAAAGGTTAAATAAGAATGATTCTCACTTTAACTTGTTTTTTCTCTATCACAGGGAAAGTGTCTATCAAAATGGATGAAGAAGGCGAGTTCTCGTCAGTAAGTGTGTATGTGAGGTTTCAGCGTCGCTATGTCTTCTACCTACTCACTCTCTATATACCGTCAACATTACTTATAATCATTGCCTATGCAACCTTCTTCTTCAATCCCCAAGACTTCAATTCCCGCATTGTAGTGGCTCTCACATCACTGCTAGTGCTGTCATCTCTTTACACACAGGTACGCTGCTTTCCATATTCTTATTCTTACATCGAAGTTGGCTATATAGATCATTTACACTGACAAAGTTACAGTAGATCTACAATAGCTGCATCAGAACAATATGTAATATATGTCTATAATTATACATCCATTCATAAATAGATTCACTTATGCTAAATCAAATATTAGTTATAATATAAGTTAATGAACTGACTTCCAGACTTCCAATTCCCTGCCAAAGACGTCTTACTTCAAGCTAGTGGACATATGGCTATTCTTCTCCATAGTGATGATCTTTATTGTCGTACTGCTTCAGACATTAATTGACTTCTCTGCTACATTTACAAGAAAGAACTTCTTGGTTAGTATCGGTACTGTTTTTTCCTCTCTTTCTTTGAAAAAAAACTAAAATATTCTTTGGTAAAATTTTTTTGCTCAGTATCTTTGAATATACATTTTCTTTCCAATACAATACTCTAACTAATATAGTAAATCTTGATCCTCAGAGAGTTTGCTGCACTGGATCTTCAGAAACGGATAAATCCCAAAATAGTGCAAGAAATAACATTACCAAGATTGTAGTATCAAATAACATGAGCAATGATGAACAGCACTCCAGAGCAATCAGTAACGGGTGGATACAGGACGAGTCGGCTTTGCCACTGAGATACAGAACTCCAAATGTTTATCCCGTCAATATACCCCTTATGATCAAGAGTAGATTCCTGATACCATTCATATTTTCCGTATTTAACATGGCTTATTGGGGTTCAGCACTCACGTGAGTTTCAACCATCTTATGCCACACATATGTGTATATATACTGTAAAATCTGTAATAAAGTCAAAGTATTTGAAAGAACTCTGTAGCCTGTTAATTTTTTTGATGCAGAGTTTAAAGAGAGTCATTATGTCTAAAAAATGAATTCATCACCAACTATACCTTATTTTTACAGATACCTGCACAGTATTGAAGACTAAAGAACTCCCCAAAAAGACATGGAGCTCCAACTGCAGTGTATAACTACAGCATAAATATATAGTGTTTGCACTTTGTGTATATTTAGCTTCATTTGCATTTCAGGTTTGCTTAAGACAACCATAAGTATATTAAATAACACAAACTGATATAAATTAGTACTTACCTAGTAGATAAATTTACTTGCAAATTCTGTGTTTACTCTCAATGCCTATGAGATTTTGTGAGAATTGGTATATGATTTAAGAAAACAGTAACTATATATATATATATATATATATATATATATATATATATATATATATATATATATATATATATATATATATATATATATATATATATATGCATATATACAGACATATAAATATATATGAAAATAAAGTTTTTTTAAAAGTTGATTTGTCAAAGTGATAAATCTTGCTTTGGATACATTTTTAAATCATATTAAATATTCTGAATTGCTTATTTCTGTAATTAAATATAAAAAGTGTTCTTCGCTGAGACAAATACATGAAGCATCAGGTACTAATATTAGATAAAAAACAAAACCATCCTTACATTATAAAATCAAATTCTCAAGTATATTACCAATATTTATTTCCAAACTATACATATAAACAAAATATATTTCTGACTAGAAAATGAGATCAGTTAAAATCTGGGAAGGAATATAAACTGTCTTTACAAACAGACAAAACTCAAACAGTTATTCATTAATTCAAGTATAAATCATTAATAAAACATTACATAATCCCCATTTCTGACATTTGAAATCTTATCAAAAGGCACTTATCTGATGAATTGAAAAAAGTAAATTCACAAAAATATAGAAAAAAATATATGCTTCTAAAACACAATTTGGCTCATAGTGTACATTACACACAAACATATGTGTATAGGTATAGACATCACAAATAATGAAATTAAAAGGAATAAGAGAATGTAGTGTGGTTCCCTCCAAACCGGGTGCAATTAACACCAGAAGTTTCCAATTCTTGACTGGCATCAATACAACTCTGAGTTAATCAGTGAAAAATGAATAAAAAGGAAAAAGTTGCTTATAAAAAACTAAACATAAGGAAAAATGGTTTATGTTATACTTCTATCACAAAATGAATTCAGTTTTGTTTATCTGGGATCAAATGATTTATTCCTAAAATTTTCCCTATGTACTCTATAATCTTATTTTGTAGTTGTGCTGGATAACAAGAATAACTACAGGTATGAGAATTACTACCATCATTATAGAATTAGTGATCAAATCAATAAAATAAGTTGTATACATCTGCCCAAGCGCTCCTTCTCCTTCACCATACTCTCTATGGGACCAGGGCTGAAGTATTTCGTGCCAGCATATTCCTCCGCTGCACCATCGATCATCCATGACTTCCCAGAACCTTTGTTGGGATTAATGTGTGATGTATGTCAAATGTCAGGCATAAAAGATATAGGAGTTATAAAAGATTCTTCAACTCACTAATCTTAAAATCAATACTGATAATCAGATATTAATTTCTTGCACTCAATTCCAGAATCAAAGTTTGATGTATACTTATAAGTCAATAAATTTGTATCAAAATTTATGCACAAACTAAAATCAATGCAATATATCATACTATCTATGCTTTTCAGCTACAACATACCTGGACAGCCCTGAAGGTTTTTTACTTTTGAAGAACTTTACACTTGTACTTAGATACACTGAACCACTAGGCATATTTGGATGAAGCATCACTTCCTGACGGTAGAATCTGAAGCAAGAATAGATCTTAAAATAATAACAGCACAGCAGTACTCAGCAGCAGTCTCCAATCCCATAATTCTAAGAAAAAAAGTTTGTTGGAGAAAAAATAGATATACATCCTCTTGCTTCTTTTTCTAATACATTATATCACTATTAACACATATGAGGCCTAAATTACCACTTATATTATAAGTGAAAAGAGCTAAAGTAATATATAAGAAAATCTTCTATTATGAATTGTACTTTAAAATCTGAACTTAAACAAGTTATTTTGAATTCCTACAATACAACAATATTCGACATGCCCTGTTCCGCTCTGGGTCCACTCTGTGTGCATGACATGATCTGGCCTACACTGGGGCACAGTAACTTGCCGTGGAAAATCACAATGCTAGGGCTGTCTGTCTCAGGGTTTTTGGGTCCGTTCACCAGCTGGTATTGGCAAGTTTACTGAGAAGATTGTTTCTAGTCATGAGCTTGCCTCTCAGTTTGGTTATATGTTCCTTGAAGGAGAGTGTTCTGTCTAGAGTGACACCTAGGTAGACTGGGTATGTGTGGTGTTCCAGTTCCGTATTGCCCCATCTTACTCGAAGCTTTATGCTAGCCTGGTGGTTAAGATGGAATGCACACACCTGAGTTTTACTTGCATTAGTATTAAGATGCCACTTCTTGTAATATATGGAAAGTGTGTCCAAGGCATGTGATAACCTTCCTTCAATCCCACCGAAGGAGCTCGATTTGGTGGCAATACACATGTCATCTGCATATATGTACTTACGGATGTCTGGGTACTGTGGCTGTTCATTATTGTAGATATTAAATAGGACTGGAGCCACGACAGAGCCCTGTTGGAGCTCTGTCTGAGATGACCTAAAAATGAGTAGGGCTTTGCTTTCAGCTTTCTAGGGGCTCAGCAAGGTTCCTGATATGCTGTCCCTTGGCCCTCCTTAGAGTCTGATTTCTAGGTACCAGAGATCTACAAAAGTCCTGGCTACCAGCAAGTCAAGCTGAGTGACAATATCTATGGCATCTAGTGTCTTCTACCAGATAAGTTGCTACCTTGTTCTTGGTCAGTCACCAATAGTGGTAAGGGGCACCCTACCACTGTTATCCCATGCTAGTAATATGGGTTGGAGCACTGGTACCAGGAGCCAGAAAACCTCAATCTCTGGGACCTAACAAAGTCTCAGAGGAGGAGGCTATTCTCACTACTGGTATCAGCTCCCAAGCTGTAAGAACTGAAAGACCTTTCATACCTTGCTTGATTATAATCTAGATGTTATTTGGAAAAGAAAACAAGCTAATAGGCCATATGCAAAGAAGGCAAGACTCATAATAATCGTTATTTCGAAAAAGTTCACAAGTTTTCTTTAAATAGCTTTTCTCAGCTTTTTTTATCTAAAAAATGAAAGGAAAAAAAGTTCCCTCTAAGTGTGTATTCTTACCTAATGTAACATCCTAAGAGCTGGTGCACAGATATACGGCTTTTATCAGTATCAACCGTATCTTGGTGAACAATTTCGTATTCCATGGAAGATATGATGGGACAAGCACTAGTTCCTGGTTTTAATTCAGGTTCTTGGGTATCCCTGTAAAATAAGTAAATATAAAACCCCTCAAAATGAAATGCCAACTTTCTAGCCCTAAATCTTCAAGAATATTTAGCATTATGAAGCTAAAATACCTACCACAATTTTTTTAAGTGGTTTCATTATATATCATCAACAAAGATTACATTGCCATCTAAAAAAAAATCTAAATTCTACCTATCAACAGGACAAAAATCATTTTAAAATCAAAACATCTCAGAGAGAAAAGAACTAACCACACAACTGGTAAAAACTCATTTTCAAGTGTTATATTTGGCCATCCAAACTTGCTGACAACATCACCCTTCACCAGTGAATAAAGGGCAGTTGTTATTCTCTCACTGAAAAATGGTAAGCATAGTTTATATAAACCTGTAACTCAGATAACATTCCTAAAGTTTAACAACACTTCATATGCTTTGCAACAGGATTCCTTAAGGGAACCGTCCCAGATAAGGGGGGGGGGGTCAAATTGAGTTAGTTAGCGTATAGTATAGGTACATGGATGAGGAAACTACCAAACGAGTATAAAAGGCATGCTGTGGCTCGTTGTCTTGCAGTTGACGCGAGAACCGCTAAACACCTGTGGAGATACTTTGCTAATGAGTGCCCAGGTACACCTATGTGGACTTCTGCTTTTTGCAATCGTGCATACGGCATTTGATTATGACATTGCACACAGATATGAGTTCGTGAATGTTCAAGGAACACTTTCATACCAATATCAGAAAAAAATTATATCACAGTGATTTATGACGAAATAGTTTGTGAAATACATCTAAAAAAAAAAAAAACACGTAAGTTTTGTGCCCTTTTACACACGAAATATGCTTCCATCGAGACTCCCTGGTAATATGTTGTAGCTTACGAAGTGATCTGTATGTATACCAAGAAGCTGCCAAAATATAATAGGCTGTAACTCCGTTCTTTGTTCACATTACCTTCGGTACATCATCACGCTCATAATTTTTGTGCAATTCAAATGCAGTTTGTTGCTTTTGCTAGAACGTCAGATCTCCGAGGCCGTGTAAATCGCTGATTTTTAAATTTTGGCCTTGCATCCCTTATGGGGATGCAAGGTCAAAATTATATATGAGACGAAGTGCAATTCTATGCGCAATATTATGCAAAAAGAATCAATGACTTATCTCCAACCGTTTTTTTTCATGATGAAATGAGTAGGGAAAGGTGGTCATTTCCTGGGACAGTCCCCTTAAGAGATTTTTCCACTGTGGTAGGAGTGAATCATACAAAGTTATTACATTCCCACACACAATTAATTATTCCTAAACATGAAATATCAACATAGCACATATGGATGTATAACATAAATTACTAAAATACTATATACTTGAACTCTGTATAGTAACAATTACAAATGACATGGAAATGGCATCACTCATACGAAAATATTTATCAATATTTTATGCTTTATCGTGGACAATATAGATAATAAGACATTACAAAAATAATATATTAGGATACAATGTTTCATCAAACTGTCATTTTTATCTTAAGATACCATACAAACTTCATAATGAATCCAAATTTTTGTGATGAGTAATGGCTAAATTTCCTAATACGCTTTCCTAACAAGATGCAATGACAAAAAGCATGTTGTAAAAAGTCAGTTTAACAAGATGTGAAGCAGAAAACCTTACCGCAGATCGCTGCAAGATACAGAGGCATTCCAAGAAAAATGGCAAGCAGACATCATATCTACACCAAAGACAATGCGTTTACTCTTTTCCTCAAAACATTCTCCACCTGCAACAGAAGATTATGTTAGGTCCCCTGATTGACATAAATAAAAACACTGTTACATTATTTGAAAATCTTGTTAAACCTAAGATTTATGTAGAAAAATTAATTAG